AGACGAATCGAAAATGCGACCTCAACTTTATCATGTAATAGGGTAGCTAGGCCTATACATGATGGTGTAGCGGTGTTATGTAGTCATAGAAACATGTGGGCTATACATATTTATTAGTTATATATACATAGAATAGAGAGGGTATTGAGGGGCAGCCGAGGGGGAGTGTAGGCAGACGACTGACTCGTCTTCCAGTATCCATCCTTCGTCCGTAGGCGTTGTAACATCCATCGTAGTCGGGGTGGCACGGCTGGTGGCACCCGCGCTGCCTTGACCATTCCGCGAGGACACGACATCTCCATTCGTTCTGTAAGCTCGTCCTCGAGCTTTGCTTCTTGGTTAACAGTATTGACTGCCTTATCAGTGACAGTCCATGCGAACGAACATACAGGAGCGACGTGACATGAGATAGAACATAAGAGGAATGGTGTCAAAGCTTCACTTTCAAGAAAATCGACTACGCCTTGGCATGAAAAATAAGATGTATATGGATGTGGTGATACTGTGTTGAAGACTAGTCATACACTGATGGGTAACGGCCCTGGTGGATCGGCCACTCCCTTCCGTAGAATAAAGCTCGTCCTCGAGCTGCTGAGGTGCACAGTGAAAGGAAATGAAGTACATCAGAGTGCATAAGAGATCTTGTTGTGAGGGGTGAATAATAGGTAACAATATAATTAATGACCTATTCTACTAGTTATTGTTATACATTCTTTCTAGATTACTTGTGCTAGATAAGAAATTACATAACATTGTTTTGACTTATGAGTTAAACAATTTCTTATCAAATGATATTCATTAATCGATATGTATAAGCCCTTTTTTGACTTTGTGACATAATAAAATCAGTAGTGGATGATAGCTTGCCGACATGCAATGTCTTCAGCTTGATGATTCCAACTTATACATCATATGAGTTAAAACGATACAAATACTAGTCTCTCTACGAGCACACCTTCGACTAGTATAGGGGCTTTGCTTTTGTTTGAAAACTACTGTTTTATTATTTGACAAAAGTCGCTTGCCTTAGGAAAGGTTCTTTGAATTCGCCATTTCAAAGAATTTTGGATAGATATATTTCGCGACAGCGGCTTAAGAAGGAATTCAAACTGACCCATGAGTAGCTAGCTGTCCTGGAAGGGACTAGCAGTACTCTCCAGATTACTGATCTGGTTCCGCTGAAGACAATCTCCTTTCCTGAATTCGACGCGAACGTCGTAATATTGGTTGATTTGCTTTATTTCACTGCTTCCTTTTCCTTGGATAAAGGTGTTGGTTGTTGGTTTTGCGAGGAACCAGTGACCAATGCAGATCTTGTAGCATATAATTTCAGTCGATTAACATGTACAATCTGTCGCGTGGGGCGACCCACTATGTTAGTAATGGTAATGTTAGGTCGGTTGACTTCTTCAACCTTGTAAGGGCCTTTCCACTGGTTTGTTAATTTGGGACGAACGGTGTCGTCGTGTAAGAGTACAAGATCTCCGGTGGAAATGTCCTTCTTGTTTACCTTGTGAAGTAGATCGTATCCCACTTTGTATTGCGCAGATTTTCTTGCTAGTTCGGATCCGACTTCCATTGTTTCTTTCAGGCCGACGGCGAAGTGATCGGCCACATCATCCGGTGCTACGGGAAGACGCGTTGGCAATTCGTGGAGGATGTCACTCCACGTAATGGGATATCTACCATATACGATAAAGAACGGACTATAGCCTGTCGTCAGATTTTTACTGCAGTTGTAGGCAAATACAATAGGTTGTAAAAAGGTTGACCAAACTTGCCTAGCCTCTGGAACAGTAGGCTGTTAAAGAGTCCGTTATCACTTTAACCATTCGCTCCCTACACTGCCAGCATATATCTGACAGTGTGGGACTCGCTGGCGCGAATACGGGCGAGTCGCGACTTGTGTGCGAATCCATGATCTGAAAACTAGGAAGATGATTGTACGGGAATTGAAAAAAGTAATATCAAAAAGATCAAAGAATTGTCATATAAGTTAGGAATATGTTACGAGACTTAGGGAGACATTGTATGCACCACCTAACGAAGAAAAGAAGAAGACTGAGCTGTGCATGCTCATGGTTATCTACAGGAAGAGGCGGATCGGGTTATAAATCACCTTACTCATACAATGTCATCGAGCAGACCGCAAGAGTATACCCCAAACACAGCTGTAACATAGCAGACCCCCAGCAGAGCTACATTTTAGCAACATCAAAAAAATACAGCCTAGCTAAAGTTTTTGTTGTTTTCCTCTCTTGTTCCAGGTTCGAAATCACCTAAAGATGGAGCCCCCTATAATGAACTACAATTTCAGAAACAATTTTTTGGAATAACTTTAGCCTTACACCCAAATGTAAGATTTTCAACCTTAACTCGAGTTCACGGCGCGTCCAAGGCCACAAAACTCGACAGAGATCTAATAATCAGAGATGGGAAGAGGTAGGTATATAAAGGAAGAATGCATATTAAATTAAAACCCTTCCAATCAAATGCACATTGCAAGCAGTAACCGTCGGCACGGCGCAATCTGTCAAAAATCAGAAAATCTTACTTTCAATCGATTGATGCGAACCCTTTAGGTGCATACAACAGTTCTAAGAGTTTTAACGCATCCAAGGTGAGAAATCAATGAAAAAACTTTATTTAAAAGTAATACTCAATTTTCATTGAATTTTACTAATTTTCTCTGGTAGTTGCCCAAAATCGAGGGTTCGAAGAGAAGTTTACTAACCGCTCTCCCGGGCAAAGACTCTAGATGCCCACATGACTACAGGAACTAGGGAAAAAGGCCTACTGGCGAATAATGTGGGATTTTATCGAAAAATCAGATATTTATGCCCAATAGGGGCTCAGAAACGTTGAGTGGGGATGTTTAATGCTAGATTACATTAGTTTCAAATGGAAATACTTAGAATAAACCTATAAAAACGCCCAAAACTTCCCAATGGTCCAGATACCCTCCTGTTGTCCATTCTGGCCTACGATAAGCCACTGCACCACCCCAAAATTCAAAATATAGTTTAATAGGACTACGGTAAGTCACGACAGCCGCCTGGAGGAGGTGCCTAGGGGTCACAACCAGTGTAACAGTCTATATAAAAGCGTCGGAGCTTCTCCCTACCACCCAGTTGTCTACGACTAGCTCCCTTCTGGACTGGTCGTACCCTCCTCAGCTCTCACCAACCACCAACCACCTACCAGCAACCTACCACAGCTTCGCCTACAGGGATCATCATCAACCTGCACAACTTCGTCTACAAGAGACCGTGAGTTCCTTCTCTATACAACTGATACCTTACTACTTTCCTTAGTATAACTTTTTATTCTCTTCTTTCCTTTTCCTTATTCTACATTTACTTCTAGGTTTCTTTCTTTTGAAGGATAACCGTATCCACCCACTGAAGTTCCCCAAAACAGATCATTTTTTTCCTTCTTAATTTTCTTTTAACTCTCGGCCCCAACTTCAATTCTTTTAACTTCCATCAATACTTTAGAACATAAATAGTTCAACGCCTAACTATCCCATCACAAATAGATAGCAGTAGTAAATAATCAGTCTATGAGCAGTTCCGATTCCGAATTATTAACTAGTTCTGACGGAAGACCTTACTCTCGCCTAACCCCAGGAAGGAGCTCAGTCAAGCGACGACGAACGAAAGTCCGCCTACCTCACACCCCAGATAAGAAGAAACCAAGACGCAAAGGAGAATTCAGAGCATCATCTCAACCACCTTCTGCAGAAAGCGTAGAAGCGGAACCGGAATACAGCAGAGGCAAAGTCAGTTCCCCCCCTAGACCACCCACGCCTTCAGCACCACTGCCTAATTATAGTAGTTCCTCCTTATCTCCCCGGGACCTTCATATCATGTAATAGGGTAGCTAAGCCTATACATGATGGTGTAGCGGTGTTATGTAGTCATAGAAACATGTGGGCTATACATATTTATTAGTTATATATACATAGAATAGAGAGAGGGTATTGAGGGGCAGCCGAGGGGGAGTGTAGGCAGACGACTGACTCGTCTTCCAGTATCCATCCTTCGTCCGTAGGCGTTGTAACATCCATCGGGGTGGCACGGCTGGTGGCACCCGCGCTGCCTTGACCATTCCGCGAGGACACGACAACTTGGAAAACTAAAAAATGGGTAAATAGGGCCAAGGATTGCGTTTTTGCAGCTGAACGGGGAGGGCCGTGCCGACAGTAGTACAAAGGCAGAGGAAGCACAAAAGTTTCCTTGAAAACGATAATGTCAAAGAAACTCTGCTGATACTCGTATTGGCCAGCGTAGAGTACATTCACTGTGCCCTATGAGCGGATGAAAACAGTCGTGGGATTACGGTAGTCGGCAGTGGTGTGCAATTACACGGCTACCCTTCGTGTATTTACGTAACATCTGGCGAGACTAGCTTTTAAATGGGAAAGCTATGGTTGCGATTTAATTATAAGTGCAGGTTGTCAGGGTGCATACAGTACCCCCGAAAACTGCGCGTGGGATTAATTATTTTGGTCGTAAGTGCACACAGCGGGGCCTACGGCCCCACATAGCCCTGGTGTGGGGTACGGAAATCTGGCCGCGCGAGCGGGTACCTCCCGGGCGGCTTGCAAACCGGGTGGTAGCCCCACCTCTGATTTACGTCCGATTGTGTGCGTTCACAACGCAACATTTTTAACTTCACGCACAATTCTCGGGGTACTGTACGCACCCTGACAACCTGAACTTATAACCTTGTATGGTTGCGCACTGGTTGTTTGACTACTTAGCTAAATGATAGAGCATTAGGGTAAGGAAAACTAGATCTACCAAGCGAATGTTTTAGTAAGGTTCTTGTGCGAAGGAAACCAGGCGTGCGATTGTAGTAGCCG